GGAGGAGGAGGAGGAGGAGGAGGAGGAGGAGGAGGAGGAGGAGAGGAGAAGCAGGAGGAGGAGGAGGAGGAGGAGGACCAATGTAAACCCAGGACTCGCCAACGATGTTGGAATACACCCTCCCTCCAAGCTCCCTCTTCGCAGGCCCCATGCAAGGATTCAATTCCACTGAGGGAAATGCACCGTGGGGGGACACTCGTGTAAAAATCACGAGGCCTGCCAAGCACCATTTTCAGGACTGCAAAGCAACGCCACGGGTCAACCTGACTGTTGCGTCTTCACCATCCTGAATCGTGCCAGATCGCCGTTCCTGAGACCTCGACGCCGCGCATCAACGTACCTGCTGCGCTCTGTTCAGCCCAGCCCGGGGCGGGGGGGGGTTGGGCAGCGGCCGTGGCGAGATCGCTAGGCCGCGGAGCTCGCGTCCGGCGGAAGAGCCCGCCAGGCGCCATCGGCCAGATGGAAAAGGTGCTGCCGTTCCATCGTCGTCCTCATCGTCCTCATCGTTTGGGGTGGCCTGAGGGGTCAGGCCGCGCCTGAAGTGCAAGCAATGTCGCGGGTGGCCTGCTGGCCACGGGCCACGATCCACCCGGGTCGCGTGACGGACTGTGCAGGACAAAACTGCAAGTGGAGGAGGATGGAGGAAGAATCGGGAGAGCAGGAGGAGGAGGAGGAGGAGGAGGAGGAGGAGGAGGAGGAGGAGGAGGAGGAGGGAGGAGGAGGAGGAGGAGGAGGAGGCGGAGGAGGAGGAGGAGGAGGAGGAGGAGGAGGAGGAGGAGGAGGAGGAGGAGGAGGAGGAGGAGGAGGAGGACGGGGAGGAGGATGAGAAGGGGGAGGAAGAAGAGGAGGAGGAAGAAGAAGAGGGAGAAGAAGAGGATGAGGAGGAGAAGGAGGGAGGAGGAGGGAGGAGGAGGAGGAGCAGGAGGAGGAGGAGGATGAGGAAGGAGGAATAATAGGAACAATACTACTAAGAAGAAGAATGCGAATGCTAATAACAGTAAACATAATAGCATGACTAACAATGATATACGAATGCTCAGAATAATCAGAGGAAATTAAGACGAATATTAATCATAGTACGAGTGCTACGAATCACAAGGTAACTAAGACTTATGAGTATACTAGTGCTAAGAGTAAAAGGAAGAAGGTGACGAAGGGGAGAGATCAGAGGAGGCAGGGGTGGCGATGCCGTACCGCTGCTCGTTTTGGAAAGCCTTCGTCCCCGCGGCTGGACTCTCCTCGGAATCCCGACCCGAGCGCGCCCCGGGGGAGGCTGGGGGAGTGGCGGTGTTGGCATTTCGTTCCCTCCCCTGGGGGGAGCTCGAAGGTCCAGCACGCCCCGCGGGCGGAAGCCGGCGGATGTACACATGCGTTCGTCGGACGTAAATTTAAGAGTGACCTTTCGCTGGAGTGACTTTTGGTGCGGGCACCGATGGGCCCTCAGATGGCTGACAACGGAGCGCTAGCAGCGGCTTGCGCGCCTAGGTTTGGTCTTCCCGCGGCCCCCAGAAGGCCGCGCACGAACGGTCACGCTTACCTAGGGTCACTCCGGCGCGTAGCCGAGTTCCTTTTGAGACGTTTTTTTTTCTCCTTCATTTTAGTGTTTCGTTGGAGGTTTCTGATAGAGATCGAAGACTTTCTTGCCCCCCGCATCTCCACTCAGGCGATCGCAAGCATGGATTGATGGGAGCGTGGATTAGCGACGGGTCCCGTTTCCATGGGAAATCCCGGCTTTCCGCCGCCGAGCGAGGCGGCACCGGCCGCATTTTGGGGAGGGCACCTCCCCCGATCCACGGACTTGGCGACCGCGCGCCCAATCCATGGATCGCCAATCCATGTTTGTCGGGGGCGGAAAAGAGGGGGTGATGACTGGGGGGGGGGTAGATATCGTGGCGGGGGCCATGACATCTCCCCGGATTCCATGGCGCCTCCTCTTGTTTCCTTACGCCCCTGGCCCTCCCGCTGGGCCGCGCACGTGCCGCCGGTCATGATTTGCACCCCTTCCCTCTTGGACACCCCCCTCCGGGCCGCTCCCGAGCTGGCGCGCCCCCGATCCGCACGGGGGGGGAGGCGCCTCCGCGGCCCGGCGGCGCGGCCCGGAGAATCTGCCCGTCGGCGAAGGCCCAGAAGCTGCCGGAAGCGCTTTTTTTTCAGGAGGGGCAACAAAAAACACAGACACAATTTTATCGTCGATTCCCAGGAACATGTGGGGAAATATGGGAAGTGGGGGCGAAAACAAAAACTAAGAAGATCTGGGAAAACCATGGGGAATCATGTTATTCGTGTGTATTTAATTGTGTGTCCCGGGCCCCCTTCATTTTTGCTGCTGCGTTTGGCTTGGTCTGGTCCAGAAGTGCGACGCACTGGTGGCGGTCTGGCTCGATTCGGTCCAGCAGTGAAGCTCGGTATCATAGTTCACCACCCACCAAACCACCCCAACCCGACCCGAAGGCTTCAAGTTGCCCTCCATTTCCAGTGTGGGGGGGGTCGGGGAACATTGTAAAAGCACACGGTGCCCGCACCCACCCCTACCCGAAATTCGGGTCAGATTCGGGCCTTCGGGTTGGGTCGGGGTAGTCTGGTAAGTAGTCGGTATTCTGGCTCGATTTCTGCGCCGCCAAATCTCGAAGTAAGACTCAGCATGGTGCTCTGGATTGAGACTGTTGTGTCTTGGTTCGTTTTCCTTTCATCAAAATCCCCACTGGGGAGGCCAGGAAGAGGCGTCTCGTAGGTCCAGCGGCTATTCGGAATCGCGTCGCTATTGTGTCTTGGCTCAGTTTCAGCCCTCCCAGATCCAGAAATTGAACTCACTACGGTGTTCTGGTTCGATTTGGTCCAGATGTGACACCCACCAGAATCTCCACATGGGGGGCTCCTCCCTTGCTCCTCCTCCGCCCTCCTCCTCCTCCTCTCTCCTCCTCATCTCCTCCCCCTCCTCCTCCTCCTCCCTCCTCCTCCTCCTCCTCCTCCCATCCTCCTCCCTCCCCCTCCTCCTCCTCCCTCCTCCTACTCCTTCCTCCTCCTGCTCCCATTCCTCCCCTCCACTTAATCTCCATCATTCCCTCCCCCTCCTCCTCCCCCTCCTCCTCCTCCTCCTCCTCCTCCGCCTCTTCCTCCTCCTCCTCGACCCTCGTCCCCACCCAGCCGGCTTCCTCCCCAGCACTCCTCCCGCGGTCCTGGAAGCCCTGCCCGGCAGCCCGCCCGAGGGCGGCCGCGGCGCCCTCCCCCCTGGCGGGGCCCGCACGCTCAGGGAGGGAGCCCGCCGGGTTCGCTGCCGGCGGGCGCGGCCCGCGCCCTGCGCGGGTGCTTCCCGCGCAGGGGCGCTGCACTTTGGGCGCCTGCCGCGCCTTCTTCGTCTTCCTCTTCGTCGCCGTCTTCTTCGCCGTGTTGCTGTTATTACCGTTTGCATTATGATTCGTATTACTATTCGTATTATTAGTATTGTTTTTGGTAGTGTTGTTGTTTCTTATTTTTCTTCTTCTTATGATTTTTCTTCTTCCTTTTCTTTTAATGCTAATAGTAATAATAATAGTAATGAAAATAATAATACTAATAATAAAAAATTATTTATTATTATTATTATTATTTTCTAATAATAATCATACTTATACTATTATCATGTATTGTGACTATTATTATGATTCGCATTCGTAGTACTACCATTATTGCTCTTCTTATTCCTGCTATTCTCCCTCTTCTTCCGGTTCTCTTTATTGAAATCACAATTCAGTCGTGCGTCCCCCCGTGGGTCGCGCGCCAAGAGCGCCGCGGGCTCTTGTCGTCCCGAGCTGTAGCTCCCGGCCCAGAGCGGGTCGGAACCGAACGAGGCGCGCGTGGCCCCGTCGGCCGCGCGCGGACACGCGCTGCGATTCGGTGTGTGTGTGTGTCTCTCTCTCCCTCTCTCTCTCTCTCCCTCTCTCTCTCTCTCCCTCTATTACTCTCTCTCTCTCTCTCTCTCCCTCTATCACTCTCTCTCTCTATATCACTCCTTCTCTCTCTCCCTCTCTCTCTCTCTCCCTCTATCACTCTCTCTCTCTCTCCTGCCTGGTTGCCCCTCTATCTGCCTGCCTGCCCGTCTGTCTGTGTGCCCGTGCTGGTTTCTGCGTACGACTGCACAGCGTGTGCCGACGTCTGTCCGTGCGAGTGCCTGCCCGTATGTCCGTCTGTGGGCTTGCGGAGGCGACACGGACTGCAGACACAGGCATAGTCCATCCAGGATCTGTGTATGTGCGTGCGCGCGTACTGCCCAGTGCTCTTGGTGTGTTTGGTGTGTGTTTGTGTGTGTTGTGTGCGTGCGTGGCGTGCGATTTTGCGTGTGTGTGATTTGTGTGTGTACTTTTGTGTGTGTGTGTGTGTGTGTGTCGTTTGTGCGTTGTGTGCGTGTGAAGTTCGTGTGCGTGTTCGTGTGCGTGTGCGTGGCAGTTGTGCTGTGTGCGGCTGTCTTATTATTAATTGAGGTGTGCGTGTGCGTGTGCGTGTGCGTGTGGCGTGTTGCGTGTGCGTGGTGGCGGTGTGCGAGTGCTGCTACTTTTTATTTGTGCGTGTGCGATGGTGCGTGACGTGTGCGTGTGCGTGTGCGTGTTGCGTGTGCGTGTGTGTGTGTGGTGTGTGTGTGGTGGGTGTGTGTGTGTGGTGTGTGTGTGTGTGTGTGCGTGCGTGCGTGGCGTGCGTGCGTGCGTGCGTGCGTGCGTGCGTGCGTGCGTGCGTGCGTGCGTGTCTGTGTGTGTGTATGTGTGTGTGTGTGTGTGTGTGTGTGTGTGTGTGTGTGTGTGTGTTCGGCTTCCCTCTCCCTCCTGCCCTCGCTGGGCGTTCCTTCCTGCGTATCGCTGCTTAACTTGCATTTACATGTCCTACTATTGGTCTTCCGCCAGCGCAGACCCTCCGCCTAGCCGCCGACGCGAACATGTGTGTGTGTGTGTGTGTGCGTGTGCTTTCAGTTTGCGACATGGATCGGAGAAATAACTGCTAAAACAGAAACTGTCGGTGCTCCGCGCAGATTTAGCCGTGGCCATTTGGGCCCAAGATGCACCTGGGCACCCCACCGCACATTTTTTGGCCCCGCCGAGGGCCCGACTCGCGATGTCCGCGGCGGCGCAGCAGCAGCTCGTGACGCAGGCGCGCCTGGCGGAGGCCCTCGCGGCACTGAGGGAGGAGCTGCGTGGCGAGCTGCGCGCGGCCCTCGCGGTCGGAGGAGGAGGAGGTGGAGGAGGAGGAGGAGCTGCGGAGAAGGAGGAGGGTGAGGGGGAGTGAGAGGAGGAGGAGGAGGAGGAGGACGACGAGGTGGAGGGGGAGAAGGAGGGGGAGGAGGAGGAGGGGTGGATGGGGGAGGAGGGGAGGGGGGTGAGGGAGAGGAGGGGGAGGAGGGGGAGGAGGAGGAGGAGGAGGAGAGAGGCGGAGGGAGGGGAGGTGAGGAGGAGGAGGAGGAGGAGGGGTTTTGAGGGGGAGGGGAGTAGGGAGGAGGAGGAGGAGGAGGAGGAGGAGGAGGAGGAGGAGGAGGAGGAGGACGAGGAGGAGGCCCCCCCGAGCCCTGAGGTCCGAGGGCCAGCCCAGAAGCCGGGGGCCAGCGTCGGCGCCGAGGCGGCGTTTGTGGAGGCCACGTCGGGCGGATCAAGCGAGTCGAGCGAAGTGAGCAACGAGCAGCGAAAAGACGCCATGTGGTGCGAGGCTGCGCAGCTTCTGTCGCTCACCGCCGACAGCGCCGGAGAAGGGCGTCCAGATGACAAGGACATCGAGCGGCTCGAGCTGGAAACGGGCATGCGGGAGTACAAGTTCCAGGAGAGCATTTGGGACGCTGCCGCCGTGGAGCGGTTCAAGCTTGACCATCTTGGCTCGATGTTCACCTGGGTTGCGCTTCTGATCAACGTGGCGGTGCAGATCGTGATGTGCATCCTCATCAACGACGCTTTGACGAGTCCACCTGTTGGCGAAGGCGACGTCGAGCAGTTCACGCTCTGGCGAACAGACGTGGCCCACAACATCAAGTTCGTGGACGAGTTCACGCGTCGGTCGTTGGCGAGTAGGGTCTGCTCTTTCCAGGAAGTGCCTCTCTCTGAAGGGCCCAGGAATGGGTTTGCTGCTATCAGCCAGTATTTGCCGAGAGTCGAAGACAGTGAATTCATTTCGGCACCACCTCTAGGGTACTTGATGCGCTGGGAATCCGTGGGCAGAATGGTGTGCATTGTTGCGCTTTGTATTTGGTGGGCAACGGTGTTGAAGGAAGCGTTCAGCATCTTTGACATGTTCGAGTCAATCAGGCTGCTGCCGAGGGGGAAGAAGACTGTCGTTTCCAGAGCCGACAACGGCTACAAGTTCGAAGCCGTCTCAATCTTGCGGTGGCGTTTTGTTGTTGCCATGCTTTTCGTGAGAGCTGGTATTTGCGTCGCTCTGCTCACGTGTGGAACTTTCTATTTGGTTGCGACTATATCGGTCGGTGACCTTTTGCTGAACGCTTTGGCGCTGGAGATCGTCTTGGGTTTGGACGAGTTGATCTTCTCGACGATGGCTCCGATATCAGCGCGAGTACTGGTGCAGTCCATGGAACCCCTGCCCAGGAAATCCAGCATTCTTTGCCGCGGTCTAGACTTCAAGCCGGCCGTTGCGCTGATATTCATTGTGGCTGCCACCGGGTGTGTGAACACATGGCTCCTGGTTCCTCAGACTGAGATCCTGGAGCAGGCCCGAGATGCCATTTGCGGTGGCAACTTGAACTTCATCGCTGGCGCTGACCAGTACGGGCTAGTCAACGCAGCTAATCCAGGCGTTGATGAGCTGGCGCATCGCGACCCCAAAGAAACGTACATGTACAAAGCATTCAGGGAGCTTATTGAAGCGGATTCTTTGGACATCCTCGACGACTATTCTTCTTGTTCGACCGATGGTTCGATGTCTTGTTGGGATACCCTTGGCAAGTTGAGCTGGTCAGGTCGTGGTATTTCTGGAGGCCGCTACTCAGTGCAGGGTGTGGTAGACATGCCAGTGGAAGAAGTCGGTGCAAGAAACAATTGGGAATGTGTCGATCAGGATTTGAGCAACGCTAGGGATCGCGAAGATTACTATTGGCGTCAGACCCAGATGGTCTTGCAGGACGCTGCTTATAACGTAACGTCAATCTCTTCTTGCAAAGACGTGCAGTATGCGTGTTCTGAGTTTGGGGTTCGAGGCCTTCGGGCGAGGCAGTATTGCCCTCAGACCTGTGGCTGTAACAATCCAGTTTCCCCACTCCGGCTGTGGTCGGCCAAGATGGGCTGCCCCGCAGGTTGCTGCAGACACCCAACTTTCGTCGATAAGCTGCACGATCTGAAGTGCACGGACTGGACTCCAGAGAAGCCTCAGATCGTCGATGGCGAGGACTTGCTCCATGTGGTCCAGGAAAGTCTTTCCGATGTGCTTAAAGATGCTTATTTTGAGAATTTTAGTTCTATTTTGCACGAGGGTGGGTGCCCTGCAGTGGTGAAGCTTTTCCGAGGGACGATCTGGCCGGGCGATCTTTGCGCCGAGTCGAACAGCGCAGACGTTCGACCCATCACCCCGCTGTGCCCCATCTCGTGCGGATGCGACAAGCACGCTGGGCTACTGTGCCCCACTGCATGCGCGCAGCATTCGACTTAGGCATATACATGCTCTTTTGTTTTACCGAGTGGTTGTGCACACGCGTTGCAAGGGATGTCTCGCTTTTGCCATGGCGTGGCGGGCGGGGCTGAGCGCAGATTTGTCGGCAGCGCGGGATGAAACACACACTTTGCGTTGATATCGTATGAGTGGGTTCGCGTGGAAGCATGACAATATCCTGGCGAAGGACCCGACCATGTGCAGTTGTGAGTAACGCAGTTGTCGGCATCGTCCTCGGTGAACCTCTCTCTGGGGCCACGGCACGTGTGACGGGTGTGCCACAATTGGCACGGGTTCGCCATGCGGACGCTACCTCCAGAGCCGTCGGTGGATCCCCATGTGAGGCCACGAAACGTGTGAGGGGTGCGCCGAAATGCAGGGTGAACCGTGTGCGGGCGCTGCCACTAGGGCCTTTGGTGGAGCTCCTTATGGGGCCACGAAGCGTGTGAGGGGTGCGCCGAAATGAAGGGTGGAACTGCGTGCGGACCTTGCCATTGGAGCCTTCGGTGGAGCACCTTCTGGGGCCACCGAACGTGCGAGGGGTGCGCCGAAATGGAGGTGGAACTGCATGCAGACCCTGCTACTGGTGCCCTCGGTGGACCAGACTATGGCCACGGAACGTGTAAGGAGTGCTCCGAAATTAGCGTGGAATTGCGTGCGGGCCCTGCCACGTGGGCCTTCGGTGGAGCACCCTATGGGGCCACGAAACATGTAAGGGGTGCGCCGAAATGGAGGTGGAACTGCACGCGGACCCTGCCACTGGGGCCTTCCGTGGAGCACCCTCTGGGGACACGAAACGTGCGCCGCAATGTAGGGTGGAACTGCGTGCGGACCCTACCACTGGGGCCTTCGGCGGACCACCTTCTGGGGCCGCGGAGCGTGTGAGGAGTGCGCCGAAATGAGCGTGGAACTGCGTGCGGGCCCTGCCACCTGGGCCTTCGGTGGAGCACCCTTTGGGGCACGAAACGTGTGAGGGGTGCGCCGAAATGGAGGGTGGGGCCACCGAACGTGCGAGGGGTGCGCCGAAATGGAGGTGGATCGCATGCGGACCCTGCCACTGGGGCCTTCGGTGAACCAGAGTATGGCCACGAAGCGTGTGAGGTGTCTGCCGAAATGGGCATGCGAGAGAGCAGATGCATGGATGGGAGGAGGAAGGAGGCGGGAGGGGGCGGAGGAGAGGAGGAGGGACGCGGGGCGTTGTCTCTTCAAGACGAGAACCCAACACCGCAGGATGGTTGGGAAAAAGAGGAAACGTTCGGTGCTCCGCGCAGATTTCCTGGATCGGCGCTGGATCCCCCTGGCGGCGCCTCTGCCGCCTCCCCTGGCGCGCTCCTCGCGCCAGGGAGG